CTGCTGAAAAGTTTCCTGACCATTTTGGATAGGTTGAGAATGATCTAGTAGAGAAAACTCCTTCTGTTCAAACAGTGGAAATTTGAGATCTTATGTGTTCTGGTAGTTATTTTTCCTGGCTATCCAATGAGCTGCAAAAAAGAAGCAAGGGGTGGGGGGTGGGGGGGGGAACCAGGAAGAGGAAGTGCTTACAAGGAAAGAAGTATTTCTTGTTAACAATTATTTTTCACTGGAAAGTTTGAGGCAAATCTTAAGTCTTCCTAAAATATAATTATGGAAGTTGTTCACTCGCTTTCAAACTGTTGATTGACTAAGTCTTAAGCCTGAATGTTCAAATTCTATTACAGACATCATTTTAACTTTTAACATCCATAATGTGAATTTGTCTTGCTTTCATTATATTACATCATATAGCTTTTGTCCTTTAAAAGTATCAGCATGGATGTTTTCTATTTTTACCTGCACATTTAAATTTAATGACTACAATACTGAGGGGGAGACTTTGTTCCTTCATATTAAGATAGTGTCCTGTTATTCAGTATTTTATTCTCATTAGGATCATGCTTGTCACATGTTTTTGCCAGAAACATTCATCACCAAGGTCAAAGGTGAATTTCATGATCTATTACGCTCCAAAGAGCCTAATGAAAAGTCACATAATTATCCAATTTTAAGAGAAGAATGCAAAAGAAGAAGAGGGCAATGACACTTACTATAATTTAAATTGTTTTGTTTCCCTGAAGCAAAATTCAGTATCTGATTGACAGGACATAATGATAATTCTTATTGATATGCTGATGTTAATTGTGTGGAGATATTTAATAGGCCTTTTTATTCCTGAAGTAAAATGTCTGCTCTTAACCTGCACCTGAACCTGATTTTTGATTCAGTCAGAGGATGAGGCAAAGATACAGATAAGTGAGCACGAGTGGATTTTCAGTCTTGTGTGGCAGAATGAAAATTGGAATCTTCAGATTCTATTAAGGGAACAATTCTGCCCTTGCTTGCACTTTTCTAAATTATGCTACCGTATATATGATACTAAGTCACAGTGTGTGGGAGTTTCCACAGAGGGAAATTACCATGACTTTACTTGAAATGGTGTAGGTAGTTTTCTTCAATTGAAAGATTGGCATCAAGCAGTATACAATAGAGACATGTATAAATTAGATTAAAACCACTGTGCTTTAAGAGGCTTCAGGCCATTTATGAGTATCTCCATTAAGAAGGGGAGGAACAACAGAAAAAAAAAACTACAGAAGAACCCAAACTAAAGCAAACTAAAGCTACAAATAATTACCTACACTAAATAGTGTTGGCCCAAGCAGCAGCAGGGTATATTTAGAAAAATACTACATGGATGGGAATCCAAGCTAGACATCTGTTCCATGCCAGTTTATTTTCTTAAATATCAACTGCTTTAGGAATTAATATAAATCTTGTCTATGTCAGTTCTTTGTGCATTTACATATTATTTCATTCCATCAAATTTAACTTTCAGAAAAATACATGTTTTCCCGATCTATGCCATTTAGTGTGTAACTTATATAATTACCAGTTATTTTACACTTTTTTAAATTACTGTTATAAATTTTTCTATGCAACTTTTCTTAATATTCTTTTAATTAAATGAAATTTTCTAATATATGGCATGTATCCCAGATGTATACTGTTTTATTTTTCCCTGAATAATATTCAGTATTTTTTTTTCAGACTGGCAGATTATATCTGTGGTTGTCATCCACGCTGTGGGAATATTTTGTTGGATGAATTAGGATAAAAAAAGGCATAAATGACAAATTTCTTCTAAATTGCTCATAGGTATACTTGCATGCATTGAAGCCTGTGGAAGCTTTTAATCTGGACAATAAACTATTAGTAGTTACAGGGTCACAGTTGTTGCATCACTGCCCATATATATCATTCCATTAATTCTTATACCAAGGTTGATGCAGAAAGTTTTCAAGTCAGTGGGCATGTTACCTTTTTGATAGTTTATAACGATAGCCCAGGAAAAGTACTGCAGTTGTCAGAGAAAAATTTGTTAATGGAAGTAATAGGAAGATATGTCCCCACGTTTAAAAATGAAATGACTACAGATTCCATCTACAAAAATATATGGACTTTCTTAAATTTAAAGAATATTGTCTTGGTTTTTATAGAGTTAAATTTCAAGTAGGCTTTTTTTTTTTAAAAAAATGTGAGTTTAGATTTCATTTAAGATATACATAGAAAAGAATTTTTTTCAGGGATTTCCAAACAATCAGAGAGTTGAATTGTTTATCCGATGTGGTCTGCATAAATCTGGACAACAACCAAATAAAGGCAATGATATGACCAAGGAGTGAATATTTTCTACTATGTTGTGGTTTTCCAATGAAGATTTGATAGTCATACCTCTCTTCTCCTTCTATGGATCAACCCTAAAAATACAGAACTACATTATGTTGTGAGAGAAGTATGAGTAATATATAATACAGGTAGCTCTTGACTTATAAACAATTGTTTAGTGACTGCTTGAAATTACAACAACACTGAAAAAAGTGACTTATGATTGTTTTTCATATAATTGTTGCAGCATCCCCATGGTAAGGTGATCAAAATTCAGACACTTGGCAACTAGCTCATATTTATAACATTTGCAGCATCCCAAGGTCACCTGGTCATCTTTTGCAGCTTTCTGACAAGCAAATTCAATGGGGAAGGCAGATTCATCTAACCTCTGTGTTACTAACTTAACAACTGAATCACTTAACAACTGTGGCAACAACTCACTTAACAACTGTCTTGCTTAACAACAGAAATTTTCGGCTCAGTTCTGTTCTTAAGTCGTGAACTACCTGAAGATCTTGAGATATATGCATGATTACAGTATTTTCTGTGCCATTTCAATGGCACAATACTTCATCGTTTCACTAGTTTTCAATAGTCTGTTTTTTTAATCTGTAAGAATTGTCTGTTTTGAAGCAAATTTTTTCAATGTAACATTGAATACTTCAAAATGCTTAGTTGGTAGAACTGGTAATGTGGAACCTCTGATTGTGATACTTTAGAAATCATGAAACCCTCAAATAAACCTATAGCTGCATAATCTACTGTAGTATATTCAACTCAATGATGCAATTAGATCGTCTTACAGCTTTAATAGTCTGATTTCCCCCCTCTCCAATTTATAGGCAGCCATACATTCAGTGGTGGGATTCAAATATGTGAACAATCGGTTCTCTGTGTGGATGCCACTTCCGGAAGTCCATTCTGGGCTTGGGCAACAAAAAATTAACTACCGGTTTTGCCAAAGTGGTGTGAACTGGCTGAATTCCACCACTGCATACATTGTACCAGGGAACAAGGACCATTTTTTTCCAGAAAACATGATACAATGAATATCTGTAACTGTAAATCCAGCTGCCTCGTCACCATTTTTTTTTTTTTTAAAGTGAGAGGGAGCTTTTGGATCAGTTGCTTTGGTGGACCTTACTATTTGCACGTGTTAAGACTCCAAATGTTTTTAAAATAGAAAGATGCTGTTAGCTACTTTTGGTGAGCTACATACTCTGAGCCCTAAACTACTTTGAAAGACAACTGAAAATACCAAGCACTCGTGCATGTTTGCACTATTAAAAAAGCAGTGTCACTAAAACATTTAGCCAGGGAACCAGCTAATTTTCTTGATTTAGCTCCCAATTTCTTCCACAGTGTAAGGCAGCATCCCTATTAATTTCCAAGGTAACTCTTGAAACAAAATTTCTGATATTGGATTGCTTCTTTTTTAATGACTTACACATAGATTCAGCATGTCAGTGAGAAACATGATGGCAACAGCAACACTCTTACTTTCACAGACCACAAAATACTCATAAAGCAAATTCTACAGCAGGTAAATGAATCAAGTTTCATCAGCAGATTTAACAGGAAAACAAAACCCCTTTCACATGAAAATAGTCTTAACAAAAAACTTTTAACCCCTCCCCTAAAATATTAGTTTGAAGACTTTTTCCATTTTCACCTGTCTTTTGCTACACATTAAGTAACATGTTTTTGTTATGTTTACATTATCAAGTATAACTTAAAAAAAATCAAGATACATGACTATTACTTAAGTCCTTGCTACTATACATTGCATCTCTTTATTGTACATGTTTAATGGGTATTAGTGATATTAGCAACTGTGCTAACTGTAAATCATGTATGTGAAATGGGCAGCTATATAAGTCAAATAAATAAATAAATAAATACTGTATGAGAAAGAAAGGATGCAAAATGGAAAGTTAAAGTTAAAAGCTGTCAGGAACTGTAAAAATAAACAAATTGTAATATTCAAAGTATAAGTAGGCTTTCTATTTTTAAAACAGGGAAGTGAAGTAGAGGGGAGGAGAAGAGAAGAGGCAGAAGGGGACAAGAGGCTGGATGGGAGGGGAGGGGAAAGGAGAGCATAGTTGAATGATAAAGAAACATGTAGGGCTTCTCATGGAATAATTCAAATATTACAGATTGTTTATAACCAACATGTCCAAAGTGTTCATAATATATGCATACTGTATGTGCACTCATTACAAAAACCTTTAATTTGCTTATTTCCTCTAAAACTCTAAGCTTGTAGTATTATATTCCACTTCCCTTACCTCCCACTAAGGCTAAGCGTGTTTAATCAGAGAAAAAAAAGTTCCATGAGTTGAGTTCCACTATTACTTTCAGGAAAGAATTATGACATTTTCTTGATGACATCGGAAAAAGAGTTTCCCATTTCTTTTGGGAGGATTTTTTTATCCCAACATAATCCAAAAATAGAGAATTTCCAAATAGTTCTTAGCCAAATAGTATCCAGATCTGATTCTGCTTAGCTTTTTTAGATCAGCCAAGGTTGTCAAAGTGCTGTATCTATCTGGATTTATTGTTTAGGACTTTCAAGAAATGAAATATTTAAAGCTAGATAAGAAAATGTGACTTTTTTCTAAAGAACAACTGGAGTGATGCTTAATTTTATAGTACCACGATACAGGTTCCAGTCTGACTTTTTTACTGATGTATATGTATAATGCTAATCAAGGACAGGAGTCTTTTTGCAGGATAGAGAAATTTATTTCATCCTGGCCAATATGGTATAGTGAATATATTGTTGAGGAATTGTGGGAATCCAAGTTGAAGACCATCTTCAGTCAAGGAATTTCACTTGGTCACTAAGGGTTACTATTTCTCTCAGCCATTAAGATTGTTCCTATGAAATAAAATGAATAAGATAAAGACACTGACATCCTATAGATAAGGCTGGATATAATTTCTTTATCTACTGAATTTGACTAGTAAATAATGCTTTTCTAATTAATTGCATTTAGATCACTCTCTTCACATATTTGCCACACACAAACATGTAGCTTTGGATCTCTTTGTTCAATAAATAAATGAACAATGTAATGTTTTAAATTCATATGTTGAATTGGGTTTCTTTAGTTTTAGAATATGTTAGAACAGATCATAGTTAAGTCATATTTATGCAGAAATATTTAAAATTCAAAAGGGTTCACACAGCACCACTGTACATGGTTTAAATATGAGAATACAATATTTTTTCTCTACCTGTTTGTTTTTTGTGCAGCTTATGACAAGTTCCATTTCCCTTGTGGAAGTTTACCACTACAACTTTAGCTTAAACTTCCAATCTTTCTCTAGAATGGAAGAAAAAGAAACAATTTTGATAAGTCCAAGATTCATTCATATAATGAACCATAGTATCATGTGACTGAAACTACAAAGAATTTGTGAAGATATATACTTAATGAAACAAATATGTTATCACAACAGAAATTTTATATTCCATCACAGGTTATGGTCAAACAGGTTATAATAGTCCCAAGCAAACAATTCTTCATCAGGGATCATAGTAGGATACAATTTACTATAGCATTTTAGGTGAACTGAATAGAATTAACATTTACATATTTTATAGATAGTGTGAAGCAGAACAATATATTTAAAATAAAAAGCATATTCCATAATGCAAAGGATTCACATTTAAATAAATTGAATAAGCTATCTGAAGTTAAAATTTAGAACTGTTTAAATGCTTATATTTCACCATACAGAGGCTCTGAAGAACTGAAAGTGGTTACATAAACATGTCTGACTCACATTTCCTAATCCAACTCATTAAAACTAACTGGGTAGGATAATAATATCAGAATACAAATCAAAAAGCTATTATTCAGGGACATTATTTTTTTTTTTTTTAAAGTCATACTTGCAATGGTGGGTGAAGTGGCTAGATATAAAGAGAGAACTGATTTGTGGAGATAGCTACTACCCAGTTTTAAGAAATAATAAATATATTAATTCTAATACTTGTGGAAACATAGTATAGCATTGTATAGTGCTACTGATTATTTTGTTGCTGACATCTGAAATAAGGAATCTTTACAGATTAACACAGAATTTTTGGTGTCAATCAGCTGTTTGTGTGTTAAGGCAGAAATGTATAACCTTTTCAAATGGCTTTTGAGAGATGTCCATGCTGTCCAAAAATAGGCTGGCTGAGCAAAAAATAAATTAAATGACATGGAATCAGATTTAATTAAAATTACATTATACTAATTAAAGCAGTAAATATTGCTTTCAATATATTTTCCTCTTCTATCACATTAAAAATTAAAATTTACTGGAAACTTTTTAAAGCGTTTGGGGACTACATGCAAGTATTTTAATGGTCACATTGAAGCCTAGGGCCTCAGATGAGCTCCCTTGTTTTAAGTACAGTTGATCCTTACAGGAAAGAAAATCCCCTTTCCATTTAATTATATGAAGCACATATCATAAGATTAGCTTGTTTTTAGAAAATGGGGAAGAAACATGTAAGGAATCCCACATGCCTCTACAGAATTTATTCCAAATCGACAAAAGCTTCTTTCTCTTTCACAAAAAGATCTTGGATTAGTTTAGTCACTTACCTGAACATGTGAAAACTGGAGATCAAGTTCAGTTACAAACAGTCCCTGGAATAAGAATGTCCAACTCATATTTACGAATGGACTGCCTATTACTAAAAATGATGAACATCATTGTCCTTTCTCAGACCAATGAACTACTGAAATCATGCAGTGTTTTCAGAATAACTTATTGTTGTTAGTTGCGAAGTCGTATCCGACCCATCGCGACCCCACTGACAACGTTCCTCCAGGCCTTCCTGTCCTCTACCATCTTCTGGAGCCCATTAAACTCACGCCTACTGCTTCAGTGACTCCATTCAGCCACCTCATTCTCTGTCGCAGGAATGACTGGACCTGCACAATTCATAAGTATATTTTCATGAGCATCACAAATATTATGTGTTTTTTAATATACAGCCTGTTTTTAGTGGTTTTCAACGGTTCATGAAATTATTGTGAGGTTTCAGCAGCTGATCAGCTGAAGGAAGGAGAATGTGGTTCACTGGTTTTAGTTTGATCCCTCTTTAAAAGTAGTCATCCACTACTAACCTTTAATCATGATCTTTTTTCTTTTTTCTATATATATTGTTTTAAGAATCATTTCTCTTATTATTTCTGTATAATTCACAATTATCAGCCAGATGTTTAAATTGGATTTAGCAATTTTATCTATCTATGAAGTCCTTTCCAAGGATCTGGAATAGGCAGATATTTAATAATATTAAAGGTGTAATTGCAGCATGTAAGCTGTTCTAAGTAAAGTTGTCTTTTGCAATTGACTGGTGGGGATTTGTCAATACAATGGTGTTCAAGTGCTGCTCCAGATGTTTTAGGGTTGCATCAAGGCATGTATTATTATTGGTATCACTTCTGCTTTCTTCTGCCACAGTTGTTCTACTTGTATTTGCATCAGCTCTTTCTATTGTGCCATGTTGTCTTCATTTTTTGCTATGTCCACTATATAAGCTTTTTTGTTTTTCTTATCAACAATTGTTAAGTCTGGGAAGTTATGTAACTAATATATTCTAACTGATGTCTGCTTGTATTCTAAAGTTCCAGAGCCCTTTAGCTGCTTTATTTTCTGTTAAGGTATCTATTTAGTGATCTCACCAGTTTGTGCTTTGAGGCAAATTCATTTATTCCAATGAGCCGTTGTTGTTTATCATGCCATTGTTTGTAGTCAGTCTGTATGATCTTGCAGCAACCAACTAGGTAGTCCATTGTTTCTTCTAGTTTGAAGCTAGTTTGAAGCGGCAGCATTTGTTATTTGTTGCTATCTTCTTAATTCTGGTTTGTAGTATGTATTTGGTCTTAAAGCTTGGTCTCATGTATCCAGAATTAACCTTTCTGTCTCTTTCTTCAGCTTTCCTGCTTTTAATAATTGTCAGGTCTTTTTGTTATCTGCTTTGACTGTTAATTTTTTCTGTACTGATCATGTAAAGTTTGCTTGCAATGTTTCTTTTCTATGCTTCATTTGATCTTTCTTGTAAGACAGTTTGATCTCTTTGGTATTCAGTAAACCTTCATGGTGTACTAGTTTCAGTGCATCTCTGATGTTCTTTTTTCTTTTCATCTGGTGTTCATGCAACATTCGATGCCTACTTGTGCTCCTTGATATTAGAGTTTGTCAACGTCGCTATTTGGATGAAAAGCATGATAATGATGTACTATAGTATTACGTTTAAGATGTTAGAGTGTGTTAGATTGGGAATTGATAAAAGTCAATCACATTGTGGAAGAAAATAACAAAAAGCCACTTCACACTGCTGCCAATAAAATAAGATGGCTGTGCCCACAGTGACACCAGAAATCAAACTCAACTTGAGGAGTGAGTATATATGAATTTGCATGCCAAACCTCCCAGATTTCAGTTCACTACTCCTCTATAACCTTTCTATAATCCTTTTATCTGCTGAGTGTCACACACTCCAATTCTTAAGGAGCCATTTTAATATTCCCCAGGTTTCCTCAAATTTGATCATTTTATTTGTTTATTTTATTTTTTATTAAACCATTATGCCATCAATCTCACCGAGACAACTCTAGCAGTTTCCAGCTATTCAATAAAGATATCATATAAAATATTCAAACAATAAATAAAGATAATAAATTTAAAATTCAGTTAAAATTCAACTGACCAGGATAGAGGGAAAGGAAGCAAAGTATACACAGGGAAGAAGGGGGTGTCTGTCTAATCTATTAACCACTTCTAAGATGCCAATCCCCATTGGGGCCCCAGGCCAGTTGGCAGAGCCAGTTTTCATGCCTTTTCAGAAGGCCAAAAGGGTGAGTTAGAGTCTCACTTCATGGGGCACAATCTTCCAGATGGCAGACAACATGGCAGAAAAGACTCTTCTCCTGGATTCTACCAGCCGAAATTCCTTGCAAGATGGCATCTGCAGCATGCCTTTTCTGCTGGTGTGGGTGGGATGAGCTAAACCAATCAGGGTGAGACGGTTCCTCAGATAACTCAGATCAATGCCATAAGGGCTTTAAAGGTGATAACCAAGACCTTGAACTGGACCTGGAAGTAAGGCAACCAATGCACTCATGGAATAGCAGTGTAACATGGGTCATCCTGGGACCCAAGAGCTGCTTATATGGCTGCATTCAATAGCCCCATATAAAGTGTGTTGCAATAATCCAAGTGCAATAATCCAAGAGATGACCAGAGCTTGAGTAACTGAGTACAGGGACTTCACATCTAAGAAAGGGAGAAACTGGTGCACAAAGTTGAGTAAAAACTCTCCTAGCTATGACTGCCACCTGTTCATTAAACAGGACCTGCGAGTCCAATAGAAAACCCAAGCTGCACACCGTCACAACCCCTATCAAGTACTAAAGATATTATAGTCCCGGAACCCATTCAGTCTCACCACCATTTTATTTGGTGATTTATTCTTTTAATCAATATTGTATTGATCAATATTGCATCATAAAAGGCTCATATCTCTGAGGAAACCCCCACACACACTAATCTATGTCCAGCCCTGACATAATAAATGTAATAACTAAAAAAGAAACAGAATAATTTCTTTATATTGCACTTATTAAAAAGTATCTGATGCACAGCCAACATCCAAATCTAAAGAAAAGGCCTGTTAGGTCAAATGAATATTCTTTGTAGAGAAGTCTACATAGGATTTACTAGTTCATCATCATAAAATTGTAAAATCATATTCACATCAGCTGGACATAAATTAATTGTAACTAACTAGTCCTATTGACTTCTAGGGAATTTTATCATAAATTTCTTTGGGTTAAAACTACTATAGAGTTTAATAAAAAAAATATTGGATTTTTTTGAATCCACTAAATTAAATAAGAAATTCAGTAATACATCACTTCCTTTTTTTCTGGTACTATTTTCTGAGAAAAATAATCAAACATTTTCTAGACTTTATCATTCTGTAGAATTCAAAAAGAAAACAAGCAAACAAGCAGTAGCCAAAACAGTGATAGATCGATAAATTGATAGAAAGATAAACATAAATCAATCTGCATTTCTTTTTCCTTCTAAGAAGGTTAACCAAGAGTGCTATGGATTCATCCAGATTAAATCATCCCCTCTTACAGAAATGAATTGTTTTAAATTATCAAGGTTTCCATTTACAACATAACTCTTCCCCATGGTGTGAAATTATATAGTATTTGAACAGATTACCTCGGCTGGTGCTTCTGCTATGGTGATGAATGAACCACATGTATGTCTCATCAGCCACTACTAAAATATAAAGGCAACATTGACATCACTTCATATCAGATATGGATTACTGGTTCAAAACCTGGCCTAGATCCCAAAAAACTCATCAAACAGCTTTGGCAAGAAGATCTGACAGAAGTCTGACACCTGCAGCATGGTGATAGGCCAATTAAGATGCAACTTCACACAGTGATGAGAAGAGTGAATGTAAATGATCAAAAGAGATTTGGAAGTTCTCCCATCATTCATCTAAGCATGGCTTAAGCAAAGGTTCCTTTGAATGCTGTTTTAGTGATGGACTTACACAATACATCTTAAGGAACATTTATACTGTGCTCACAGTGCATTCAACTGTGGCCACTTCAAAGGTTTAGCCAAGTATTTTATGGCCATGGTAAAGGGTTCTTATTGATTTAAATTACAAGCCTGGCTCCCGTCAGCTTTACTTGAGGGCAAAAATGCAATAAAATATCCCACAGCATACAGACAGGCATATCACATTGGAAAATCTAAAGAGGTTGCTTTCACTCAAGCCCCTCTAAGGCATTTCTGGTTTGGTTTGGTTTGGTTTGTTTTCTTAAGGGCGTAGTATCTCAGAGAAAAGTTTATTCCCCATAACTGATGGGGAATTAAAAGTTCAAAGGCTATGCAGTGTAACATTAGAACAGGGTGCTTGCCAAATTCAAGTCTCTACTCTTCACCTACCCCTACTAAATACATTTTTGGGGGCAGATTTCCCCCCCTTTTAGTAACTGATATTCTGGATATAAAGATTTTAAGAGATGAACCTATCTGCATATCTAACAACTCAGATCAAATGTGTGCAAAAGAGGGAAACAGACTGGATGGTGGTTTGCAACAGGGAATTAGCTATAATCACTCTAAGCTCCATTCAAGACTAAACAAAAATGTTTTATATATTAGGCTTTCAGAAAGAAGCTTGTTGTCAATATGAAACATTGTTTATTATTTTCTCAGTATAGCTACACTATAATAATACAGTTAACTAAGGACATTTTTGTACCGATGAATTATTAAGAAAAATCACAAGCAACTTCTGAATATTAGTGTGTATATGTCTATAACTTTATAAGCAGTTTCTTCATAATAATTTACCTGCAATAGATCCTAGCTGAAGATAACCTCTGGGCACATACAGAAAGCAGCAAATGACTATTATATATCTGACATTTGAAATAACATGTTTCTGGAGGGCTGGCATTACAAGAGTCATTTCACTTCAAAATGTTATTCCTAATGTAATTTTTTTAAATTCATAAGCGGCACTTGCTCAAATTCAGCGCAGCACTAAAGTCACTCTAAAGACAAGAGGTCAAATTCATTTCATTTCTTTTATGTTTTCTTCTCTCTGCTAGATGAAATAAATGATTAAGCCTAGAACACTTGGCAGTTCAGTGAATGTGCTCGGTAGTACCATTACAAGATCGATTTTCTCAATCCGGGAGTCTTTCTAGGGTGCACATTGCTTAGCTGACATCTGTCGTGGTTGTCATGGCAGCAGCCTCTCCAGCATAGTGAGAGGTCAGGGCTGACAGGGGAGGCCTC